TGATATAGCCTAAATTGAAGGTGGCAAAAAAAGTAGCGAACACAATCAGAGACATAATAACCAACATTATCTAATGAAATGAAAATGGGGGCAAAAACAAGTGTTGTGTTTATATTATTGTTTAATGTATATTATAAGTAGATGATATTAGAGAAAATTTATGACAAACTTACTGTAATTTTCTTTTCCTGGCTATTTCTCATGGCATCATCACTTATGGGTAGCTCCTCCCTTAGTAGTCACAGGACAGGAATTAATTAGATTAATTAATCAGACTGATAGGTATAAAGAGTCCCTCCTCCCCTTACACCTCAGTCCAATTATAAAGCTGAAATAGAGAATGGGCGGGAACCCTGATGCTGCCATGAGAAATAGCCAGGAAAAGAAAATTACGGTAAGTTTGTCATAAATTTTCTCTATTCCTGGCTAATCATGGCAGCATCACTTATGGGTAATACCCAAGCTTCACAAATCTAGGGTGGGAAATAACGTAAAAAATTACACCAAGCCGAACACATGCAGCAAAGAAAGTTTAATATCAACTGGATAAAGAGACCGTAGAGAGGACACTCTTCCCAAAGGTGGTGGAACGAGACTCCACATCAAGTTTGTAGTGCTTCATAAACGTCATTGGAGAAGACCAAGTGGCTGCTCTGCAAATATCATCGTATGGAACCTCTGCCCAGCTAGCCCAAGAAGTTGATAAAGCTCTAGTAGAATGTGTTTTTATCACCTGTGGAGGTGATAGACCTTTAGAGACATACGCCTTCTTAATTATCAGAGAAATCCAACGTTTCAACGTAGATAAAGAGGCCGCCTCACCTCTCCTAGCTCCCAACGGCAAAACGAAGAGTTGGTCCGTCTTACGGAAAGACTCAGAACGTCTAAGATAGACAAGCAGCTCATGACATCCAAACGTTGCCATCTAACCTCTTCCTGAGAAGAGGGGTTGGGGTAAAATGATGGAAGAACCACTTCTTGAGAGAGGTGAAACTGAGAAACCACCTTGGGAAGAAACTCTGGCTTAGGTTTCAGACATACCCTATCTTGGTAGAATTGTAAACAAGAAGAAGATGTAGAAAACGCCTTAATCTCTGAAATCCGTCTTGCGGAAGTAATCGCCACCAGAAACAAAGTCTTATACGTCAGGAGAGTAGTATCCAAACCTTCAAGAGGAAAAAACAGATCCTCCGTGAGATAATTAAGCACCATAGGAAGGTCCCAAGGAGGGGTAGTAGACCTGGAAGGAGGCCTCAACCTGAAGGCCGCTTTGAAGAACCTGGAAATCAAAGGATCCGAAGCCCAGGAGATGTTGCACAAAGCTGAGAGTGCCGCAGACTGAACCTTTAAGGTGCTGAGACTAAGGCCCTTGTCCAGGCCCTCTTGCAGAAACTCCAAAACTTCAGTATTGCTAGGATGTAGAAAGTCCACACCATTGGACGATGCCCAAGACTGGAACACATCCCAGACCCTATGGTAGCATGAGGAAGTGGAAGCCTTTCTAGAGAGCAGAAGGGTATTGATCGCAGCCTCCGAGAGGCCTAGTACTTGGAGTCTTTCCTTCTCAAGATCCATACCCCCAGATTGAGGCGTTCTGGATGAGGATGGAATACCGGACCCTGTGTAAGCAGATCCTCCATCACTGGCAGAGGCCAAGGCTGTTCCTGGCTCATCGTGGTCAATAGGGGGAACCACGGTCTCCGAGGCCAAATTGGAATTACGGCAATGACTTTCCTGCCTTCCGACCAAACCTTCCTCAGGAACCTGGGTATCATAGGTAGGGGAGGGAAAGCATACCCCAGATCGAACGACCAAGGGAGAGAGAGAGCGTCTTGGCCCAGAGCCTGACGGTCCGGGTGGAGAGAGAAGTAATTCTCCACCTGGTGATTCTGAGATGATGCCATCAGGTCGCTCTGGGGCATGCCCCACCGATGAACAATTTCTGCAAAGATCGCCGGGTGAAGATGCCATTCTCCCGGAAGAATTTCCCTTCTGCTGAGGAAGTCTGCTGTTACGTTCTCCGAGCCTGGGAGATAAAAGGCCTTTAGACCTTGAAGAGACGTCATGGCTATAACCATTAAGGGAGCGAGTTCTTCCAGCAGCAATCTGCTCCTCGTGCCACCTTGGTTGTTCACATACTAGGCCACCGCTCGGTTGTCCGTTTTGATTAGGACCCAAGAGTTCTTTAGCCTCAGTAGGAACCTCAAAACGGCCTTGTAAACCGCTCTCAGTTCTCTCAAATTTGAGTGTAGGCGACTCTCTTCTTGAGTCCACTTCCCTTGAGTCCATACCGAGCTGAAGTGGGCACCCCATCCAAAAGAACTGGCATCTGTCGTAATAACCTTCCAAGGGGGGTCTTCCAACGGGAAGCCAGTCGTCAAATTCTTCTTGCTCCTCCACCAGTTTAAGGTTTTTCTTACCGGAAGGGGAAGATATATCACCTGTTCCCAATTTGCTTCCACTCTGTTGAACTGGAGAAGGAAGCAGTTCTGAACTGGACGGAACTTCCACTGGGCCCACTTCACCAAGCCTATTGTAGACGTCAAGGAACCTAGGAGGCTCATGACTACTCTTGCAGGTGCCGCTTCGAGATCTTGTAGTCCCCTCACTTTGTCTCTGATCTTCTCGACCCTTTCTGGAGACAGGAACACATGTGCAGACACGGTATTCACTACCGCCCCCAGGAAAATAATCGTTTGCGCAGGAACGAGGGAGCTCTTTCCCAAGTTCAGGAGCCAACCATGGTCTTGAAGAATGGACATTGCGACTAACGTATGTTGAGCCACGATTTCTTGAGATGGACCCAGGATAAGAATGTCGTCCAAGTAATGGAATATCTCGATACCCTTTACCCTTATAAAGGCTATTAAGGCAACCAGAACTTTTGAGAACGTTCTTGGAGCCAGACTGAGGCCAAACGGTAGACCCCGGAACTGGAAGTGCCTTCCTAGCGCCCAAAATCTGAGAAAACGTACATGATCTTGATGTATCGGAATATGATAGTAGGCGTCCCTTAAATCTATTGAGGTCATCCAGTCTCCTTTTTTGACACACTTCAAGATGGTCCTCAAGGATTCCATTTTGAACGTCCTTACATTGAGCAAGGAGTTCACGCCTTTCAAATTCAAGATGAGACGCCATTTTCCTTGAGGTTTTGGGGCCAAGAAGACCGTGGAATAAATTCCTTGAAACCATTCTCGTTTGGGAACTTCTTCCACCACTCTTTGTTCCAGGAGCACAGAAATGCAGGATCTCATGGCCCTTCGTTTGATGCCTACCGGCACCTTTGATTTTTTGAAGAATGCAGTTTTTGGTTGAGATGAGAATTCTATTCTGTAACCTTCTTTCACGATGGAAGTGACCCATAGGTCTGAAATATTGCTGGCCCATCTGGGGTAAAAGAACTTCAGTCTTCCTCCCACCATCCCCGAACGGGCCTGGGGACCTTCAGAAGTTCTTTCCTGAGGTTCTAGGACCCCTTCCCTGGAAGCCTTATTGGAAGATGAGTGTGGATAGGATTTCCATGTGGAATTCCTGGAAAACTCCCTACCTGGCTTATAGCTTCTGCTGTCCCGAAAGGACCGATCCTTAAAGCGCTTGGTCTTCCAGGAGGAGGGAAAAGTCTTCCTGCCAGATTGAGGTAAGAACGCCTTCTTCCCATCAGCAGCTTTTTGAATAGCATCTTCCAGAATCTTTCCAAAGAGGAGATCCCCTTGAAACGGAAGAGCACAGAGGGAAGCCTTAGAGGCATAGTCAGCACCCCATGAATGAAGCCACAAAGCCCTTCTAGAAGCCACAGACAGGGCCATGCTTTTAGCAATCATGCGAGTGATATCCAGGGAGGCTTCTGAACAGAATTCCGTGGCTAGGTTAAGGTCCTTGAGGCTTTCCAACAGATGTTCCCTTCGGACACCTTGCTCAATGTCATCCTTCAGATTAGTGAGCCACACTTTCAAGGCTCTGGAAAGAGTCGTCAGTGCCACTGCCGGATGAAGAGCGGACCCAAGGGCCAAGTAGGCTTTAATTAGGTCTCCATCCAAGCGCTTCTCCATAGGCTCCCTGAGATATGCCATAGAGTCTATAGGCAGTGTAGTTTTCTTAGCCATATGGATCACTGCCGCGTCAATTTTAGGAACAGAGTTCCACAGACCGCAATCCACCGCAGAGTATGGATAAACCCTCGCAAACTTATTTTTTTTTTTTTTTTTAATTCTTTATTTTTGCAGTGCATGAAAATGATACAGGCAGGCTTGAGGTGCCCCAAAAGCAGTCCTCAGGCTATTCCTCTGCGTTACATGCGGGACATATGTTTATCAAGCACAATTTTTTTTTTTAAATATAAACATGCTTAGTCAATCATACTTTAAGCTATAAGAAGGTAAGATAGCTAGTTCAGAGTCATTTTGTATGAGGATGTGACATAACTAGGAGTATTTCTATGTTGCTTGCCGAAAAACCTAGGCTGAGAACAGTACAGGTCATGCATATATGTATATCAGTAGTTGTACAGATAAAGTAGTACTCCTAGGCTTCACGTGGCTTACAGGCTAGGCCTTGAGCACTCAGTGCAATACAAAAATCACCTTTTAGCAGTAGATGCCCAGTTTTATCAGGGCATGGGCACAGTTATACAGTAAGTTGCTTGGAAGTTATCCTTACGTAACAGGCTGACTAAGCATTAAATCTGAGTAACATTCTATCTTTCATGGTTTACTATGAGTGTAACGAACATAAGATCACCAATCTCAAGGTCTATTCATGCTGATGCAATATCATTAACTGTGTGATTCTTCAGTGATATGATTAAACATCTAGCGCCCTATGCTTAACTAATAGAGGCTAATATAAACAAGCGTGAGTAAGGTATACTATGGTTGGCAAAAAGCATTTGTCAGCACATGAAATCAAACTGGTATGCAGCGGTCACCGGCAAGGCACTTGGATCTGGACCCGTGGGGTAGCGTATGCGGGTCATAAGAGAGTTTGTGGTAAGTCACTATTTATCCTATTCCTTCTGTGGGAATGCGGCTGAGGCTCTCCGGTTGGTCCAGAGGAGGTGCTGATGCTCGGCCGGTGGTGGGGGTGTCCCTCTTGCCCCAAGCTGGTGTGCAGGCCTGCGTCTTCTGGCCTGAGACTCGGTGGCACACGTTGCCCGAGTGTCTCCCCCTCATGGGGGTGGCGGGAGGTCTGTATGTTGATTGCCGCTTGCGTTTCCGCCTATGTGGCCGACGCCTTCGGGTCAAGGCCCTCTTGGCCTGCAGCCTGGGTGGGCCGGGGTGGGTGAGTGTCAGCTTTTGGTCTCGTGTTGCGCCCAAGGGAATTCCCCTCTTGCCCGGCCGCCCATAGCTCCCCTCTCTTGGGTCCATGGGGTCCTGTCGTTTTGTCTTGGTGCGCTGTGCGCGCCGCTGGAGCTTCTCCCAGAAGTCGTTGAACAGTGCATCCAGACGCTGCATGAGGTCTGTGCCGCAGTCGGAGCTCTGCTTAGCTGCTTCAAGCTGAGTTGCTGCGAGTACTCCGCCACCATTTTCGATGGGCCACGTGTCGCCGGCCCTGGTGTCCACACGCTGTGTATAGGCTCGGACTGGGCTTGCGGCGAGGACCGGGATATCCCCCACCGGTCCCGGGGGGGGGGGCGGGCAGGATGAATGAGGGTCGAAGTGGTCGTGGAGCAGGTAGGTGGAAAGGAGAGCGGCCGTCTCCCCTCTGCCAGCCATCCTGTAGGCCTCGGTCACCGCAGCTAGGGATCTCGGGTGATTAGCTAGTCGATTTGGGTGTCCAGAGTTGCCCCCCGAGGATCCCAATTCAGTTATGCCCGTTAGAGTAGTTCTGTGCCAGTTTTACTGGGTATTTTCTCCAAAAATCAGGCAGATAATGCAGGAGCTGGGTTTCAGCACGTCCACTCTGCTTGGCAGCTAGGCTCCGCCCCCCGCAAACTTATTTTTTAAGGTGGACTTCTTTTCAGGCTTATTCCATTCTTGAAGGATCATATCCCTGATTGACGTATGTACTGGGAAAGTAGGTCTGTTAGGCTTTAGGTCCTCAAAAAAACCTGTCAGCCTCCTTCAACTCAGATCTTTCTTCCGTGAGACTAAGTGTGTCTCTAAGAAGGGTAATAAGTCTATCCACAGACCTGGAGTCCAGAGACCTGGAGGTATGATCAGCTTCCTCCTCACCATCATCTGATACCTCCCAGACATCAGGGTCCTCATCAGAGCTGGAAGACTGAGGTTCCGCTCTGCGTCTCTTACTCGGACCACTAGTACCCGTGGTGGCCCTAAAGCCCTCAGCAATAGCCTGAGAAATCCAGAGCTTAAGGTCATCTTGTGGAGAGCTCCTACTGGGGGCATCAGCGACTTCCAACAAGCATTCCCTGCAAAGGTTCCTTCCACTCGGAGCGGATGAAGAACAATTAATGCATTTATTTGACTTATCCCGAGATTTTCTCGCTGGAGAGTCCAAATGAACGCTGGGGCTGGAAAAAAGCCATATATGACATATATTACAGGCTCAGTATGGCACTCTTTTAATAACCCCCCCCCCAACACAAATAATAAATGACTCACCTATGTTTTCTAGAGAGGGATCTTGCAGAGGCAGAGGGAGAATCCATACTACAAACAAGAAGCAAAATAAATTCAGGACCAAAATTCCCCAAAGGGAAAGAGGCAGGCTGACCAGCAAAACTTCAACAAAAGCAAGAACCAGCAATCCTACCTTAAGAGCAGAGCACCACTATGCATCCAAGAAGCAGACAGAAGAAGCTGGCAAGACTGGAATTCCAAGCTTTTAGGTGAGAAACCAGTAAAAGAGCAGCATGAATAGCACGAAGGGGGCTGTATTAATCCCCTTAAATAGGTCCGGGCGGCGAACAGCTGACCGCCCGGTTCGCGCATGCGCAGAGCGGTGGAACGCACGCTATGCGTTCCACTCGCTCGCGACCGGCAGAACACTTCCGGTTTCGCCGAACTGGCCGCAAAACAGCCGGCTGGAACGCAAATGCGTTCCAGCCCCCAAACCCCAAGCGCAAGAGGGGGGCCCAAGGAGCAGGGAACCCTGGGGCATGTCCCAGGAACAGAGCAACATACCCCCAAGCCAGAGAACAGGGAAGGGGCAAGAAGGAGGCAACAAGAGGAAGGGAGAGAGCTTTCATCATGGATTCCCCAAGAACTGCCTACAAGGTATGGGGGGGGGGGGTATATAACCCCAATTAGTAGGGGCAGGTAGTAAACAGGGGAATTTTTAAGGCTTAACCAACCCCACCATAGACCAGAAGAATTAGTGTCTCCCTCAAACACTTGCTTCCCACGGTGCAGTTCAGTACTTACACTGAACCTGACCCAGTTAGTCCTGCTCATGCAGGCTGTTTACTGGGCCCTTCAAATGAAGAGAGGCTTAACTTCATTTGGAACGAACCCACGACAAACGCAGGAAGGTGAGCCATAAAACAAAATTGTAAAAAGTCCTGTAGAACCTGCTAAGGACAGGAAAAAAGACAGAGGTGTAAGGGAAGGAGGGACTCTTTATACCTATCAGTCTGATTAATTAATCTAATTAATTCCTGTCCTGTGACTACTAAGGGAGGAGCTACCCATAAGTGATGCTGCCATGATTAGCCAGGAAACTTAAATTAAACTAAATTTATGCTTGTCACTAGTGAAGGGTACATAGATTACAAAATGATCAATGGTGCTAAAAAAGATGTTGGAACTCTTGTCAAGGTGCTTGATAATAAGAAAAAAAGGGACCAAGCAGGATCAGATAGGGAAAAAGAGTAGTTGAACAAACTGTAAATGAGTATTATTGGTACTCAAAGAGGTCATGCTTAATAAACAACCTCCTGGAAATAGGAGAAAAAATGTGAGATGATATATTTGCCATTCATTCCTGGTTACATCCTCATGTGTTGCTTCGGTGTAACAGAATTCAGATGATCCACATATCGGCCATAAATTTGGATGATTGCAAATGTTTGAAATTGAATACACAAGCCTACTAGGCATTATTCTGGAAAGCAGAGATGATATCCTCTAAGCAAAAATAGACATGTAATTTAAATCAGGCTAATATATTATATCTTCCTCTGTAAAACTACATATTGATCAGAAAATAGGGATGTGTACTGACAGCAGGAATATTAGTGAACTTCAATAATGCTAAAATAAGAAAAGAACCTATATTAACTGCTCCAGACTTTAGAAACAAAAAAATGTGTACTTTGCCAATATCATTATGCTTTAAGCATACATTAAGTTGATATATACGTGGATGCACCAAGACAAGGTATATACTTTATTTAGGTTGATTGCAGAGACTGTTATTTTATATATATATATATACACATACACACACACATGTGCGCACACACACGCTATGAAATATGCTCTAAAATCAAGCCAAGAGATTTAAAAAAATAAATTTTATATGATTCAGACCTCCAAAATTTCAGTCCATTAGCCCATCATGCAATCACTGGCTGGTTCCTAGAAGTGATTGCTTGCATCTTACAACAAATCATGGACAAATTGTCTTAATGGATTAAGCGGGTTTCCATTTCATCATGTGCATTGCTGTGGGAAATAAGCTATGTAATTGTCACTTTTCTAGTCATCACTAGCCATGCCTGGGGAATGCAGGGACATATGGTGAATGAAGCTCTTTATGAGTTTTCAAAGAAATGTTATACATAAATATACATTAAAATAGAGAATGCATTCATATTTAATGTATTGTATGTATACTGTATATGATTCTCAAACTAGGATGATTAGATTTTTTTCATTTTGTTACATGACATTATAAATGCTCTTCATTTTATGCCATTGTAATTGCAATAGTTCTTTTCACTGTTTTGTTGTTGTAACAGAACTCCCCGTACTCCGACCGAGTACCTTCCGTTGATGGACGCTTCCTAGCCAAATCCACCTAGTTGGTAGCAAACCTCTGCAGTACAGGAGAGCAGGCAATACATCCCAGGGGCCATAGTCACATGGCAGGAGGCTGGCAATCAGTCTTCTCCAATGCCCAGTGGTGAGGCTGGTTCCGCCACATTTCTCCCCTTTACCCGCCAGACTAACAGGGTATCTGACCTCCTGCCAGTCAGTGCCCTGGTTAGTCCAGCAACCCACCCACAAAACAGTATCCGCAGTATAACCCAACATGGAAATTGGTTACTACACCTGGGGTAGTGGGTCGCTTGTCCATGTCCAGGAGCTCCATCACGGCTTTGTTGGGTTGGGTCCATAGAGAGCCAACAGCCCCTTCAGTAAAGGGTCAAACCGTACGTGACTGTACCAATACTCCAGGCTTGCTTGGTGTTCCCAGGATGCTGCTCCTCGCACTAAGGAAGCCATCCCACCGCTGCCACCACTGTAACGGAACTCCCCGTACTCCGATCGAGTACCTTCCATTGATGGACGCTTCCTAGCCAAATCCCCCTAGTTGGTAGCAAACCTCAGCAGTACAGGAGAGCAGGCAATACATCCCAGGGGCCATAGTCACATGGCAGGAGGCTGGCAATCAGTCTTCTGCAATGCCCAGTGGCGAGGCTGGTTCCGCCACAGTTGTAAATTAATAATGATTTATAAAACATTAATTTATTTTTTTTACTAACTGGAGGATTTCATTGCAGTGGCTGTAACCAGACACAACCCCAGAACATGTTTGCATTATTTTTAGCATTTATATGCCTCCTTATCTTCAATATGTTTTTTACATTTTTCTTTCAAAATATTTTCATTTTTAACCTAAATTGAAACAAAGTAATTGTGTTCATATTTATGTTTTATGTATAACTTAAAATACATATAGAAAGCTTTTTTGAATATGTCCCTTAATAATAATATAACATATGTTTTCCTATTCCATTGCAGATAAACAAGTAAAATCACTAATCACATGTGGTTACTGGGAAAAGGCTATTAAATTAAACCCTTACATGTGAAATGTGGTGTAAGGTCCTTTCTGGAGAAAATTTAATAAGGAATCTGCCTTGTATTCTTACATGTCTCCTTAAAGACTATAACACTCACCCTTGCTTTCCCTACCTTCTATTCTGGACCTACTCTGAAAGCGCTCTTCCCTATCATACTTCCTAGCGGTCCCAGGGAGCTGGAGTAATCCATCACGACTTCAACGGGACCTAGCTGTATACGTCTGGAACTCCAGCTCGCCCTCAATAAGCATCACCTCCCGGTCAAGTTCCATCCTTGTTTTCCCCTACTTCTACTCTGTCCACAAGAGCGCTAATTGGAGGGAAGGTAAAACTGACACATTTTGGCCAGGATTCAATGAATGGATGGTCAGAACTTTAACCCAGTGGAATTTCCCCAGTTCCTTATGGATCCAAGACCTCTTTTACCAGAATGGGCACTCGGACCAGATCTTTCCGGTGATATATTAATTGAGGGAGTTTGGGGTTGTTTTGTTAATGTTTTGGGGGGTTTTCTATCTAAGG